ATAATGTTTTGAACTTTTAAAATATTGCATGGTACAAACAGAAGCTGCTCTTCATATTAGTGACAAACTTTGGTGTTTTTGGATGAGTTACTTTCATTTTTGCTTCTACTTTTCATTTAAAATACATTTCCAATATCGGCAGGTTTCTAAGGTTCTTCTTCTTCTACATATTAAAAAACAACTGAGTGGCGCACTACTGCTACTAGTGGTGAGAAAGTGTATTACACCTTATTCAAAATCAATGCGGTCCCACGGCCCTCTGTGGTCCAAAGTTAAAAACTGCTGTTTTTTGAGGCCCTCAAGGTGGCGCTCACGGCCTTAAGAATCTCTGCTTTAACGCATAAAAACTTAAAATAAACCAGCTTTTATTCTGCCTCCATCTTTTGCATTAAAAATAAAGCTCGTCTCACGCTGGCGGGCTGGTTTCCTGTCGGACCACTCCTGGACCTCCACGTCGTCCCCGGGGCCGCCGATGAAGTACTGCTCTTCAAATGTGGAGTTAGCTGGGATGTCGAAGGGATCCCAGTCCTCGGTCAGGGCGATCTTAGAGCAGTCTTTGGTCTTCTGGTCGATCTGGAACATCACCATGCTCTGATACAGGTAGATGTACTCAAAAAACCTGCAAGAAAGAAAACAAGAGCGAGTTTAAATCAAGTTGATTTGTTGACAGAGTTAAGCAAAAATTCATCATAGATTCAGTTTAGCTTCATAAAGGGACATATTTTATTAAAATCTGCTTTTTAATGCATTAAATGTGTTTTTCTCCTGATCTTTATTGAGTGAAATTAGTGTCAGGGGGTTTCTGTCCTTTGCTCGGGTCAAACTAAAGCTGCACACGAAGCAAACCAAAGTTGATAAACAGAACGAGTCCGATTAGCAGACATAGACAGACAGAATTTCACAACTCAGAGACCTGACAGAGACTTTGAGTTTGTTTATCCTTTTATTTATCCTGCTGAGTAAACAACAGAGTCACCGTGCTCAGCTAGCAGACGTGTTCAGAAGGTTAACAATAATCTACTGACGCAAACATAATGATCTGAGGAAGAAAAAACTCTTTAAACAGAAAAGTTTCATAGAAAATAAAAAAATGTGAATAAAAACAAATAAAAAAGTTCAGGATTGAACTTAATTAATAGTAATAATATAAATATTAGGCTTSTGTTTTTAGTTAAATAAAGGTATTAATGTTTCTATTAATGAAAAATCATAAATAATCTTTAAGCAACATATTAGCATCAATAATTTTAATAAGGCTACTCTAACTATACTGTATAATGTTATATAATATACAAAGTTTCTCATTTCATTATAGAGAAACAGTTTAGTCTTTAAAGCACCATTATAAGTACATAATATTAATGTTTATAACACAAATATTAATCAGATGGTGTATCACATGTGGAGCTTCTTGTTTATTTTGATGCATTTTTAAATCACTGCTCTTCATTTAACATTAATACAAATAATATTATTTAATACTTAAGAGGTTTTCTATTTAATGATCCAAAGATGAAGTGTTTAGAAGTGAAAACTATTAGATTTTTCATATCATTTACCTAAATTATAGTAATATTAGCATTGTATTTGGTRTTTAGTAGGATGTTTGTTCACATACAGCGGGTAAAATAAGTATTGAACATGTYACCATTTTTCTCAGTAAATATATTACTAGAGGTGCTAATGACAWGAAATTTTCACCAGATGTTGGTAACAACCCAAGTGATCCATACATACAAAGAAATCAAACCATAAATGTCCAGAAATGAAGTTATTTGTAATAATGTGGAATGGCACAGGGAAAAAGTATTGAACACACTTACTGAAATTTATCTAATACTTTGTACAAAAGCCTTTGTTGTCAATGACAGCTTCAAGACGCCTCCTGTATGGAGAAACTAGTGGCATGCATTGCTCAGGTGTGATTTTGGCCCATTCTTCCACACAAACAGTCTTCAAATCTTGAAGGTTTCGTGGACCTCTTCTATGAACTCTGATCTTTAGTTCTTTCCATAGATTTTCTGTTGGATTCAGGTCAGGTGATTGGCTGGGCCATTCCAGCAGCTTTAGTTTCTTTCTCTGAAACCAACTGAGAGTTTCCTTGGCTTTGTGTTTGGGCTCATTGTCTTGCTGAAATGTCCAGCCACGTTTCATCTTCATCATCCTGGTAGATGGAAGCAGATTTTTATCAAGAATGTCTCTGTACATTTTTCCACTCATCCTTCCTTCAATTATTTGAAGTTTGCCAGTACCATATGCTGAAAAACAGCCCCACACCATGATGTTCCCACCTCCAAACTTCACTGTTGGTATGGTGTTTTTGGGCTGATGTGCAGTGCCATTTGACCTCCAAACATGATGTGTATTCTGGCATCCAAACAGTTCAATGTTGGTCTCATCTGACCAGACTATATTCTCCCAGTATTACACAGGCTTGTCTAAATGTTGTGCAGCAAACTTTAAAGGAGCTTCAACATGCTGTTTCTTCAGCAGTGGAGTCTTGCGTGGTGAGCGTGCATACAGGCCATGGTGGTTCAGTGCATTACTTATTGTTTTCTTTGAAACAAACGTACCTGCTAATTCCAGGTCTTTCTGAAGCTCTCCACAAGTGGTCCTTGGCTCTTGGACAACTCTTCTGATAATTCTTTTCACTCCTCTGTCAGAAATCTTGTGAGGAGCACCTGGTCGTGGTCGGTTTATGGTGAAATAATGTTCTTTCCACTTCTGAATTATGGCCCCAACAGTGCTCACTGGAACCTTCAGAAGTTTAGACATTCTTCTGTAACCGATGCCATCATTATGCTTTGCAACAATAAGGTTGTGAAGGTCTTGAGAGAGCTCTTTACTTTTACCCATCATCAGATGGTTCTTGTGTGATACCTGGCCATCATTTGGGACTGAACCAGCTGATATTAACTTGCACTGACAAGGGGCAGGCTTGCTTTCTAATTACTGAGAGAGTTCAGCTGGTGTCTTGGCTTTCCATGCCTTTTTACACCTCCCTTTCTTCATGTGTTCAATACTTTTTCCCTGTGCCATTCCACCTTATTACAAATAACTTCATTTCTGGACATTTATGGTTTGATTTCTTTGTATGTATGGATCACTTGGGTTGTTAYCAACATCTGGTGAAAATTTCATGTCATTAGCACCTCTAGTAATATATTTACTGAGAGAAAAAAGGTTACATGTTCAATACTTATTTTACCCGCTGTTTGACATGATAAGATGAATGTTTTCAGACATTTAAAGTAAATATATACACATTTATATACATTTGTCACATCTTCCAGCTAAATCTGACTGTTGATGGGAAAAATATACAAAATGAAACATAAGAAACTTAAATATTATTCCTAACAACAATATTTAAAGTTCCACTTTATCTGAAACACAACAAATAACAGCACAGGTGATAAGAAAAGGTTAAACTTGTCTATTAGTAAGTGGTTTTAGTAAATTTATTTATTTATTTTACAGTTCATTTCATTGCTAAACTTATCTAAATCATGCTTTTTAAAATGTTTACATAGTTTTTATTTTGTTTGTCTTTCTTTGATTTATTCATTTTTGTGAATGTTTTCTACTAATGCAGTTTTACAACATTAACTTCTCTGCAACAATTACAAAAACTACTAAAGTAAACTAGAGTTTGAGACAAAGTGAGATTTATATTAAGATTTAAACTCTCTTGTTTTGGTTTTACATATGACCCATTTTTATTGCTGACTTTTGTGTGTTTTTGTTTATATTTTACCTCTGACACGGAGTGTGTTTCTTGTGCTGCTGCAGGACTCGGATCCTCTGGTTCAAGCCGTCGTAGGAGACCGCCGCCCGGCTGTTCCTCCCGGTGCTGTGGTCGTACATCACCCACCTGCCCTCCCACTGCAGCGGGGCGGCGCACGGCTCTCCGCCCGGGGGAGAGGCCTCCAGCCGCGGGAGGCCGAGCACCGACACCCCGGCAGCGGCCATGAACACTAGTAAGACTCGGTGCATCATTTTCTACAGTGCGGTCCGTTAACTGCGCCTGATGTTGTTGTTGTTGTTTACGACCGGATRCTGCAAAGCTGATGATTTTAAAGGAGGCGAGACACTTCCGGTTCTGTGTTGGCGTACTTTCAGAATAAAAGCGTATATTTAGCAAGGAGATTTTTAGTAATCTGGTTTTATTTCTAAATAACAATTATAGTAATAAAAACAATCCTACACAAAACTGAAAAGGTTTAAAACAGCAGACAAAGTTTATAGAAACACTTCACTACTCACCAAACTTCTTTAAAGTAAAATCAGAATCACAAAATTCAAAACCTGCACTGTTCCGTCA